TCCGTGACCCTGGGGCCAGCCAGTCCAGGCCCACCCCTTCCTGGCTGTGTGACCTTGACCTAGTGCCTGGGCTTCCTTACTAGGCCGCAGGGTACCAGCAGCCCCTGCTTCATGGAGTTGTGGTGGGCATCGTTGTACCCCGGCACTCAGAGATCCAGCCCCGCAGGGGGAGACAGTCACACTGGCTGCGGTTCAGTGACCCTTGTCTTATAGTTTGCAAATGAGCAGAGTAAGGGCAGCTCCTGGCCTGAGCTCCTGGCCTGAGCTCCTCACCAGAGCAGCATGGAACAAGCCCCTCCCAGCCCCCCTGGAATTTCTAGCCACCCTCCTAGCCTCAACCGATTGGCCCACACAAAGGGCACTGGCCCTGGAGCAGCTGACACACCAGCCAAGCGGAGGTCGGAGGTCGCTTTTCCCCTGCTCTTTGACTCCCGCCTCCCCTCCCCTTGCGATGGGGTCAGTGCTCTTCGTCACTCTCCGTCCCAAACCCCCTCCTGCCCCTGCACCTCCCACTGTGACCTTCATACCCCAGAAGTTCCCAGCAGGGAGGTGGTGGGGTGGGCACCCCAGGCTCAACCTCTCGCCAGCTCGGCCTCATGCCACAACACTCCCATGCAGAGGCCCCTCCTGTTCCCAGGAGTCCCAGGCCCCTCACGCCTCTGCGTCCCCCCAGCCAGTTGGGGAGGCTGCCCACCCTCTTGCTCAGCCTTCGACCATCCCCAGCCACCAGCCTCTCAGTGCAGATGCTCCGACAGTGTCAGTCCAGGATGAAATGTGGCCCAGAAGCAATTACCAGGGGAGAGTGAGCTGGGCTGCGCTGGGGACGGGCGGGGTCCCACGGTGATCTCCTGTCTGTCCATGCAGTAAATCCCCACGCGGAGGAGATTGGTTTTTCCTCATGACTGATAGTCCTCAGTGGGGCTGACTTTGTCCTCAATCCACAGACAGCCCAGGCCTGGGGCGGGCCCTCCACCAGTGCAGTGGCGTGATTGGTCACTGCCCCGTAGGCCCTGGGGAGGAGGGGAGCCCGGTGCTCTGGGGCCATGATTTCCATGTTTCAGGGGCAGGGAGCGACATGCTTCTCTAATTCATCTGCTCTGGGCCACCTTTCCCCGGTTTCCACATGGCCCCTGGTGGCCTGCAGGGTCCCGCTGCACAGCACAGAGCCCGTCAGAGGAGCCTGGAGGAAAGGCCAGTCGAACAGGCACCCTCCCACTGTCCTCATCGCCAAGCACCTGCCATGGCTCAGATGTCCACTTTCCTCCACCCCCAGGGCCTATGCAGCCTAAGCTGCAGCCCTCTTTCTGGTGGCCCCGCCTCAGTCCTGCACCCCACCTCCCTGGCCTCCCCAGCCAGAGGAACTTCCCCAAGCGTGCATTTAAAAACTCTCCCATTGGTGGCCCCCGGGGGCCTTTCCCACTGCTTGCCATAACCACCCCCATCTTCTCTGACCCCCTGAGACTCTTCAGCAGCATGCCTATCTGCTCCTGAACCCCAGAACTGTCCCACTCAGTGCTGCACACCACCACGTGGTGTCTTCTAACCCCAGGGCCTTTGCACATGCTGTTCCTTCTGTGCACACGTTTCCTTGCTGCCTCCCTCCTCCTCCTCCAGTCAGAGCTGCGATGGCCCCTTCCAAAAGACCCTTCCTCACCCCTCTAGTCTAAATCAGACCTGGGGGCCAGCAGGTGGCATGGTGGTTAAAGCACTGGACCCCCACATGGTCAAATGTGATTCAAGTCCCGGACTGAGCAGATTGCTTTCTCTCTCTCTCTGTCTCCCTCTGGTCAAATTAAAAAATAATGATAACAAATGGAATTAAATAAATGAATAAATAATTCTTTTTTTAAAAAAATCAGACCTCTCCTTGGCCTATGTAACCTCTACTATTCGAAGCAATAGTTTTGTGTTCAGGCTTGCAGTATTCATGTGATCTGTCTCCTCCCCAGAACGTCCAATCCATGGGGTTGAAGACTATTTCTTGTTCTACATTGCAGCAGCAGGGCACAGCTCAGATGCTGACACCTGCAAGTCCCACGGGAACTAGTTTTTAGATAAGTGAGATCCCCCAGCAGGTCCGTGATGGGCCGGATTTGAACCAAGCCCACCTAACTCCTCAGCCCTGAGCACCTTTGTCCATCCTCACTTGCTCCCAAGCAAGACGATGGCCGAGCCTCCCCCAGCGCGCCGGCCTCGGGCCTGGCTGCGCAGAAGAATGTCCATGAATCAAGTTGACGTTTCCATTACCCGGGGGAGACGAGTGTGTGGCCCAGACAGGCCGGCTTTGGCGGGGGCGGCAGGGATGGCTGCTCATCACAGCCACCAGCCCAGAAGGAAAGCCAGCCCAGTTACTTAAGGAGGACTGTGTCCATCAGCCAGCAGAGGCCACGGCCCCCGGTTCCTCTGCACCTGGGAGAGAGTGGCGACTTGGACAAAGACACCGAGTGCACACAGACGCAGTGTGCGTACAGGGCTGGTTCAGCACCAGTGCCTGGGGGGATGCTATCTAGGTCCAGCACGTGCACACATGAGGGTGCACGCATGGGGCCGACAGGAGCACACACCGTGGCACACAGTGACTCACGCTTGTGCCGTGTGTGTGTGTGTGTGTGTGTGTGTCTAGGGTCAGCACCTTTGGCCAAAGTCGGGCTGCAAGCCTCCTGTGTGTGTGAGCAGGCCATGGGGAGACTGGTGTGTTTGCATAAGCCCAGGGCCTGTGGATACAGAGACTCTGGGAGCAGGAAGCCCAGGCAGAACAAGGCTACATGAGGACTATCTGGGGCTGTGGGTCGGGCCAGTGTGTGGTGTTGGGACTCAAAGGCACACCTCAAAGCCAGTAGCCACCAGTGGTCAGAAGGCGTCTGCCTGCCCAGCACTGGGAAAGCCGTTTGCAGGAGGGGGCCTTCCTCTCCCTATCCAGGCCCCCCTGTGCTTGCCCAAGCACCCTCGCCAGGTTCAGGCAGACAGGCCTTTGCTCCCTCCATGAAGGTGACCCTTGAAATAATCCTGTGACCCAGCTGGATGACTCACCCGGGCTGCCTGGAAGTGCCTTCCTTTATCTAACCAGCAACCTTCCTGTTGCAGGCTCCATGACACCGGAAGCCGCTGGTTCTCAACCCCTGCCCAGAGGTGTCCCGGAGGAGACAGGAGGGCCTGAAGCCGGAGCGGGCCTGGCTC